CATCACAGCACAGCCACCTTGCCTTGTTACAATAGAAGCAAGAATAAATTTAGGCAGATAGTAATCTGGTTCATTCCTGCCCGAAGTTGAGTAGTCGCTCAAGTATAGGCACACTAACAACTGATCACAAGTGTGGAATGATAATTACCTCTGGTCACGGCTGAAAAGATCGCAACTAATTTGGCACAAGTATTGTGGTGTTAGACACAGCCTTTCATGCGGCCCCAGCCAGCACTCAGCTTTTTTGCCGCCTCAACCTTCGCCAGTTGCGAGGTTGTATGTGACGGGTGGATAAGTCACCATGCAAAGCGCCAAGATGCTTGAGGACACTCGATCGACGATCTCCTGCTGCGGGTGATCTTGGAGTCCGGTATCTCGTCAATTCCCTTGCTTGCCTGAGCGCCGTGATAGTGTTCGTTCCAGAATACGCATTCCAGACCCATGTCGTCTTGGCTCTTTATTTGAATCAGGCTGGCTCAAACGGCTACCGCGTGTAAGAACTGAGCATCCCTTCTAGCCTCGTAATGTTTCGCGTCGACAAAACATTATGCCCAGCACGACTGACGAGCTTTGAAGACAACAGTTGTTGGACTAGCCCGATTAAGCTATTTCCTAGATCTCCTGGCACTTTGGCACCAGCCAGTATTCAAGCTCTCTACTGTTACAGATAGAAGTTTCTTTCTTTCTGAATCGATCAGTTTCATGAAGTCCAGATTGGTCCAACAAGGTGATTCCCTCGGCCTTCTTCATCGGTGGCGACATCGTGCTGTAACAAGGCGAGGTGGCTGTGCTGTGATGGGCTGTGCTGAGCTGGTAGAACGGTGGCAGGGAGGAAAAGTTGTCTAGTCACATGTCAAACCTAAATGGGCTGGCAGAGAAGGGGGTGCGGAACAGTTTACAGTGCTGGCAGTGTGCCATTCATTAGTTTGAGCAGAGTATCATGAATTCTATGGCTTTTGGCGCCGTCTACCTAATTCCTGAGTGTTTTGTCAGTCCTGTCCTGTTCCTCGATGTTGCCGCTGTGCTAGGTGTTCGTAGCCCTAGCCGCTGCCCCTCTGGGTGGTGTTGGTGGTGTTGTTGTTGTTGTTGTCAGCATCAACCAGAAACGCGTTCTCGATTCCCGATCTGCTGGACAGGCCTCTGTGCGTTGTTGCACGTGCACGCCGAACCCTGAAGTGCTCTGTTACAGTGCAAAAAGATAGAGCCTAGCTGGCTAGGATACGGGAATCCATCTCTAAAATGGGTATCGGAGTACGAAGGGTAAATATGATGGTTACCGATTGCACGTTGGGAGAATGGTTGAGGAGCCACGGACTGCCACTTGACAACTCCACTCTATACAGCCGAGAAGGAAGCGAAACCGGCGTGGTGTGATCCATTAGGCCGTCGCTCACCGGTTTGAATGAAGCTTCACTTAGTCGCCAATTTGCATGTACTCAGCCCAAAATGGACTTTAGTAGCTTTGTTGGGAAGTGGCTTTCCAGCGTCGAATGTATGCGTGCAAGGTTAAACCGAAGCCAGGACGCTCAGCGGTATATCTAGGCTAGAAGCAGAAGCTTTAGCAGCGGTTGCGTCCGACGGCCCGGGCTCAGCTTACCTTGATTTAACCACCACTTAACACGTACGAAGTATCTCAACCCTGAGATAGGTCTGTTACCTTCAGTATATCGCCTCCCAATGATAACTCGCCGTCGTGCTTGTGACTCTTGTCTCATGTTCGCGCCGTTTCAACACCTAGGTGAAGTGAAGTCAACGCGATAACTACCCTCGTCTGACTTTCTATCTTAAATTCATACATGTTAGTTCGATAGTGATCAATGTTGATCTTCTATTTGTGGCTGGCATTCGTGGGATGATTGGAGGCAAAAGCAAGGTACTGGGTAAAGCGCAGCTGATCGAGGAAGGGTTGCGTGTGTGGCTGTTTTATGGGGTGATGGAGTCTGCCTTGGCTCCATTTGCTTCCTGTTCTGCCCATCAAGTCGGCGTGGGATACCGCATAACATATGAGGTTCGCATATACGAGTTTGGTGGTGTGAGGGGGACAAAAATTCATGACCATCGAGGAGACACTCGAACGAATAGCGAAATCCATGATCCCAGTTAAGTGATCGCACGTTACGAGGAAACTAATCAACAGAAAGGCCCCGGGTGGCTCTTTGCCACTATGAGGGGACGAGGAGCCCTCTTTCTCTTATTGGCAGTGTCATGTCGTCCCAATTCAGCCATCAGCCCATCACTTCGCTAAAAGAAGGATTTTCGGGAGCTAGTCCCTGGCCCGGTGATGCTACCATTTCGCCCCGAACAGGGAGCGAATTGGAGGGCTGTGACCCTGCACCCTGGAGTTGCTCGTTCCCGAAGCGGAAACACAGGCAAAACTAAGTAATCAGGGAAGCTGAGCCCGGGTCCGCTTCTGGAAGCAACCCGTTCTAATTCCACCGCGTGTTGCCTCGGATTGTTCGCCTCGTTTCCCACTCCACTATTCTTATCGACTTTATCCAATTCGAGCTTCTGTGTCGGAAAGTTAACTCCCCGATAGAGCCATTGCAAGCGATAGATTATCGACTCAATGATCTTTATCAGAGCAGGAGCTTAGCTCGATTGATGGCTGAAATCAGCAAGCGGAATTCCGCGCTCGTCCAGCGAACATTGAGCCTTCGGAGATAGTTAAGCCCCTCGGCTGTGGCTGAATTCTAGCCCGCCAGGTTTCTTATCATTTACAGCCCAATGCATTGGAGTCGGTCCAAGCGAATAGAGTTTCACTGGTATTGGAGGATTCTCATGACGCAGATCGAGTATCAAGATGCGAGATCGCCACCAAGTTTAAAGTGAGCCGTTGCCAGTTTATAGGCAGTTTGATAGGCAGCGCAATTTATAGCAGGACGACGTCGGCATGGATGATGTCGCGAGGAGACGTTCAGGGGCAGTCTTTCTATCACAGGCTAAATTTCCATATAAACGGGACGTCACTCGCTAAAAGAACAGATAGATAGATATCTCTGGGAACAAACAGATGCTCTCTCTACCAACTTGACACATCCCAGTCTCACAGAACTAACGTCTGTCCTTGGCGGCATTGTGCGACCGTACTCTGACGATAACAGGCACCCTCGAAGGACCATGTTACCTATATTACGATCCGCCACCCACGAGATAACCTACCGGGTCAACACCAAGATAACCTTAGACTACTACCATTGCCAACTTCCCCCCGGAACCGGGGAGTATGTAATGCAAAGTACCTCGGCAGTCATGAAATATGCAAACGTTGCTATGAGAGATCAAGAGGGCTGCACAGGAGATGAGTGAAGAGTAATAGAGCAACTGCAGTCCTTAGAGTGAATAGAAGAGAGATGAAGAGACATGTGCATTGTCAATCTACATCAAATGAAATCCGATTTCCGCCGCCATTTGACCTTCTTCTCTTGAGGCTCGACCGGCAACAGGCCGTCGGTCAGACCGTTACCATCCAGCAGAGCGGCAGGTGCCGTAGGCCAGTGGTCGAGGAAGTTCTTGGCGGTACCTTCTCCATCGTTGCTTAAGGTTGAGCTGGTTATGGTACTTGAGCGGGCGCAATCGTTCTCTGGAGGTGGAGGAAATGCAGGGACCTGTCCATGATCAGCATCGGGTGGATCAACAGGAATTGGTGGAGATCTGTTGGCCTGAATATTCCGCCAGGGATTATTCGAAGAGTAAGAATATGGCATGGGGTGCGAGGCGTCGACGCTCTGGGTCGTATCATGTGTTACTGGGAACTCTGAGATGTACACATCCTGGAGCCGCTGCACTGGAGACAGGGTATGGTCTTGATTCAGCTGCAAGAATCTCACTTGTCTTGTGTTCGAGCCAGTCTGCAAAAATGATAATCCCAGCCCAGTGGGGTTAAGCTCGAGAGTATCCTTGTCAAACTGATCAGCGTATTCCCCCATATTCCGTGTACTGAGATTCTCTTGTCCGTTGAATGCTCGTGGCGGTGATCGATTATCTGATCTGTGGCTTTTATCACTGTTATCATTATGAAGCGAAGACACAGATTCTTCGGCTGTACGTTGAGACTCGGCCAAACTGTTCAAGTTGATCTGGCTGGTGCTGTTGTTACACGAGCGTAGTCTCTTTGTCGGGCTGCACGGAAATGGCGGTTTCTCCCCTCCTCTGCTGGGAGCCATTTGTACATCTCCACCATTGTGTTTGTCTTCTTCCAAGTCTCCGTCATCATAAGCGGGTGGAGCGAGGTTTCCACCCACCAGGATCAGGGGTGGATGTACCATGTCCAAGCGCAGGATGTCCCTGTCCAACGCATCCAAGCAGTTGACCAGTGTTTGAAGCTGGGACAAAAACTCTTGATTCTTCCATAAAAGCCACGCGGCTCTGTTCTTAAAGGTGACTGTGCTGAAGCTCGAGGTCTTTTCGACATCCTTCGATGGAGTCACGGACGAGAAGAAGTACATTCTCGGTCGCCTCGATACTTTGGCGGGTCTCCCTGCTAAGACGAGGGTCCAGGTAATGAGCTTTAGAGCGTAATAGGCGTTTTGCAATATTTATAGTCCTTTCGGCTCTTTCGATGTTCGTATGTAGTTGTTTTACTTCCTTCGGTACTTCCTTGTAGTGTGCAGCTAGACTGATCGCTTTGATGAAGGCGTTGAACCCGGAAAATACAGATGTGGCAATGGATACTGGCTCCGGCATTTTAATTGAATTTGACTCTGCAGAATCTGGCACTCTGGAGAGTATTTGATGTTGATGGCGGGTAACCGAAGAATGAATCAATTCTCAGCCTAATAGCGCTCAGATAAAATGCTGATCAGAAGGATAAGCTAGCCAACTGGCCCCGTGATAGACGAAGCTTTGCCGACTTCCTCCATAGAGCCAGGCCTAATTTGGCTACTCGGGTAGAGCACACGTGAATCCGATGACCAGGGCAAACGCCGGTGCAAGAAGGGCCCAACGTCTCCTGTTGGCGAGGTATGCAGCGCAACTTCAGGCCCGGATCAGCACTTCAGTTACAGATCGAGGTCACTCGGGAAGGGATGCCCTCGGTCAGGCTGTGAAAGCAGCAAGAAGATTTAGGTTTGGTTCCATTTGCTCCACTTTGTTGATACGGGGAAAGGAGGAGGTTGTGCAGAACTAGTGCGGCTTAGAAAGCCCAATGCAAGCAAGCTAGATCCGACAGGGGAAAGAGCCATTGCGGCTCGGCATGGCCTACTAAGCTCTTGCATATCAGCTCGTTGACGACCACTGCAACCAACTCCACCGTCTACCTATTTTGCCCGACAGATGACATCCTTCCAGGGTTCTGGGTCAAGCGATGAAGGTTGGGTATTAGTGAAATGGTATTAAATATGCAGCGGCTCACATTCCCGCGTCAATGAGGGGAAAGATATTCGCAGAGCATTTGGAAGCGTCAGGCTGGTGGGCTGAGAATGAGGGGCGGAATGGGATCAGAATTGAGACAAGAAAACGGGACACTACCCTAGTGGCAGTCTCGGCCTCCCAACCACAATTGCCCCTTTTGTGCTTCGAACCTCGTATTCAGTGTTAGTGCAAAACTTGGCGTTCAATGACAATGAGCGGACGGTCCAACTTGCGGGCCAAGTTGTCCGTCACCCGCAGAAGTTGGGGCTGGACGACGAATGGTTTCTTGGGCCGCTCGCTTCGCCGACTTTGCGCTGTCGTTCTCTCTGCCTGCTGCCCGTTGCTCCAGTCAAATTTCCACTCGGCTGGTTGGGATAGAAGAAGGAGTCCTAGCTCTTGGGCTCGCTTGCAGATCTTTACAAGGTGCTGGCGCCGGTCTGGATCGGTCTCTGGGTTAACGTATGGCCCCACGATGGCATCCAGATCGGCGATCAAAGCATCGATAACCATTTGAGATCGTGCTCGATGCTGAGAAGACTCTTCTGGCCCGAGAAGGTATGCGGTGCCGGTCCTCCATCTTGACAAATAAAGTCGGCTCCCTGAGAAAATGGTCAGAGGTCAAGTCTTTCATGGCAGGAGTTCAACGTACTAAGGCTGTCCGTCACTTGGGCTGATGAGGCTCTCAAAAAGCCCGTCACGCCTTCAGGCAGTAGTGACTTTTCAGGTGGGCCAAAGAAATCAATGGTATCCAGTAATGTTGCTGAAATGAGGCTGGCAATGGCTGAGAAACGGGTTTCCGGCGCAGCGAGGATTGGCCTGAAGCCCACATCGGCTTGGTCTTTGATGCCACTAGGTAGATTGCTGTACTGGAGTTGGTACTCCTGGTGTGATGGGGCACCTTGAGGCGAGGAGTCCAGATAATAATTCACAGCATGGTCTTCAATTGCCTTGAAAAGAGCCGCCACGGATTGTTTGATGGTCGAATCGTCTTTGGGTTGCTCCAAGGCATTCTCGACGGTGATTTCCTGGACAGACCTCTCAATAAGCCCACCTTTTTCGACATTGTCTGGATGCCTCCGCATCGTGCTGCTCAACTGTCCAGGTCGCCTAGAACTAGAACGATCCGAATACCCCAACCATGATGTGGTGCCATGATGGCGCCTTTTCTTATGGTGGCTCTTCATGAAGAACAGGAGACAAAGAACGAACAGGGCACCAAATATTGCAGATGCAATAGCAATGCCACTGATAGCTCCTGCGGACAAGGTTTTATGAGAACTTTCCGTTGAGTTTCCCGTCGAGTTGCTAGTATTAGTAGGGGTCGAGGGTGACGTTGAGGCCTGTGAGGAGCTGGTATCGACAGTGGCCTCGGCCTGCGATGTGGACGGGGTGGTTATGATTGAGACAGGATCTGTTATTTTGCCAGTAGAGGAAAATGTATATGTGATCGCAGTTGAGACAGAAACAACACTAGAAGAATCTTGTAGAGAAAGAGTACCAATAGCAGTTTCAATAGTAGTCGCAGTGACACCTGCTGGAAGAGCGGATGAGCCCTCGTCGCTCATTGTGTCTGAACATAAAAATCCTGTCGATCACACCGTGGGTTGGGTTTCCGGTGAACAGCAGCAAGGTCGGGATCACTCCATAACCGAAGCCAGAAGAAACACAACATACAGTAAAGGTCGAAGATTGAAGACCAGGATCAGCTTTATGGGAATAATTCGAGCGGCATTCTCATCAAAGGCCCCCCGGTGTCAACTGGTCGAGTGGTACTCGCCTCTTTTACCATGCAGATACGAACTGCAAATTGCAGATGCATCTGAGACAATTCGTCGAAGCGGCCTAGGACTTCAGCCAGCAACCAAGCGGCACCATAATTGGAAAGAGGTTCGTATGCGGCTGAGAAGAGATCAATAGTCTAGGCTTGTCCGCGGAGCGAAGGTACGCCACCGCGTAGGTCCAGAGCCCACGCGGACTCATGAGGGCGAAAGCCTCAACCGATTTGGCGAAAGAAGATCTCAATAGAAAAGTCAGATATTTTGACCCCACGCCGGAGCCTCGAGCTCAAGGTGATAGGTTCCTTCTCCGTTCTTTCCTGTCGACAACAAAGGAAGAATGGCAGCACCCCGGGAGCCGCTGCTGGTTGGGATCGATGTTGGCATGACTTGCACAGGTAAGGTTGTAACACCATTGAAGGGATCAAGCAAAGTCTGATACATTCTGAGAACAGGGGTGGCATATATCATTAGATCACCTGCCATCGAAATGGTAGAGCCGCGCACAATCCAGAAATGGCCCGGGAACGGCACTGTAAAGGCCGACAAAGAAAGTACAGAGTCATCCCTAGATACCTCCTGACTGACTCTTTCCGAGGTGCCAACGTCACTCTCCTACCGCCGCAACAAGATATACTGGGGGTTCCAGACGCAGCAAGAGGACGAAGACTTAGAGGTCCACGACTGGTTCAAGATATTCCTGGATAAACGGGAATATGAAAAATTCCGTTTGCGTGGGGACGATGTTCCACCATCTCACGCCGATGTGAAAGCGTACTATCGAGACTTTTTGAAAATGCTCTATGCTCATATCAAGAAGATGCTGGGTACAGAGCTTCCTGCCCTGAGCTTCGGAGATGAGACGATAGAGTTCATATTTTCTGTCCCGACCACCTGGAGCCCAGGTGTAGCAGAGGATCTGAGAACATTGGCGCGCGAGGCAGGCTTCGGCCAAGATGGCGTAAATCACTCTGTGGAGATCGGCTTGACGGAGGCAGAAGCTGCTGCAGTATGCACTCTTGGAACCGAGTCCGAAAGATACACGGTAAATGTGGCGCCCGAGTTTATTTTGGGGGAACTGACAAGCTCAGGATGGAGACATTATGCTTGTTGTCGACGCTGGCGGTGGGACTACCGTAAGAGGTCTCCCTGTTTAGGTCACGGCCAGTACTCAAACTCACGCTCTGACAGGACCTTGCCCTTCTAAGGGCAGAAGTGAAGCAAGGTAGCAGGCCAACCTTGAAGCAGCTCGATGAAGTCCGAGGTATGAAATCTCTTTCCCTTAACATGCCCATAACTTCGATGACATGTCTTCCCAAGGGGACGAAATCGGAAGTGTAGAGATCGACGTCGCATTTGCAAGGTTAGCAGAAGAAAGGCTTCTTCAAGCTGCACCATATATCGGCCTCGAGCCCAGCTCCATTACTTCAGTCATTAAGAAAATGTGCAAGGGTGGGTTTAAGGTGATCAAAGAAGAATACGGAACCGAGGACTCTGACCATCTCCATGTGCGTGCCATCGTCATTCCTGGCGTTGCTGGTCACCTATCGTCCGAGGCTGGCAATATCCAGAAAGGGAAGCTCATGCTGAAAATGTGCGTGGGTCGATTAGTGGCTGCCGGTCTCATATCTTTTAAGAGCTCTGCTAACCAGATAGCAGGTCAGACATGAAGCGAATGTTTGACACCCAGTTGGAAAAGATGTACCGGTTGATCGATTCTCAATTGAATCGAATGCGAACAGTTGCGCCGCACGACCAAGTTGTAAGCAAATCGTCTGGAGCTGCTTGTCGAAATCGTGGGGCTGACGAATCCAGAAATATCTCGTGCTCTCAGGAGGACTAGGCAGCTCCGAGTATGTTTTCAAACAACTGGAGAAGAGATATGTCCACGAGCGGCCCAATGTATACGCCCCATATCTGAGGATAGTCACCACGAATTATCCGTAGGCCACGTCTTCCCTTCGGCGAGCATTCAAGCTGATGCAAACACAGTCATCTTGCTGTTGTGAAGGGCCTCTTGATCGAGCGGCTGCAGAAATTGAAATTTACCAAGTCAGTCCTCAGAGTCCGCAAATGCCGACAGTCTCTGGGCATACTTTGCGAGCAGTTGTATGATCCAGCCAGACACAAGGGGGCCAAATTGAAAGTCGACCCCACAGACGGCTTGACATATGCAGTTGATCAGATAAGTTGGTTCATTCGACAGGTAGGCTCCCGCTTGAAAATGGAAAAAGACCTCGGGTCTGATCTCGCTAGGGCGATCTAATAGAGACGGAGTCTATTGAACGGGGATTCCATCGCAACCTCGCCAAAGGCGCACCTCGCGAACCCTACGAAAGTCGAATTGTCCTTTGCAACTCGAGAACAGGTCCCTTGCCTTCGAGCATGAGAGAAGGTACCTCGAACTGTGCCCATGCCAGCGCCTTGACCACGCTGACCCTTTCTAGATGGCGTGGAATTGTGCTGTGTCATGAAGTCAGATCTCACTGCTGTCGATGTGAAAAATTTCGAAAAGGTGAAGAAACATTGGTGGCAGTTCAAGAAGAAGCCTACATATTACAAAGTCGTCTATAACATCAGATTCATGATCAACGCAGCGAATATCGAAAGCGAACTGTGGTTTAACGGGAAGAAGTACAGCATGCCAAACTCATTCCAAGTGCAGTTCGAGAGCGGCATGTGGAGGCCGCGTCCGAAGGAGCATCTTCAGGAGCGGCAGCAGCAGCTGGATTTGGCGTTATAAATGGGCGATTGTATAGTGTTCAATCAATCTGGAGGCCAGGAATAGGCTGATTGATTGATTGATCGGTTGATTGAGGAAAGCAGGAAAATTGATCTGGAGTGAAAGAAGGCTTGGTTAGGCAGTAGGTGGCAGGTTACCGCGGTTCCAAGACCCCTCTTACCTAGCCCAACTGGGCTAGCTAGTCCTCCGGGCGGCCTCACGGATCAGAGAAATGAAGTGTTTGAGTCATCCTTGGTTGATATCAGTCGATACGGCACCTGATTGCTAGGTATCCAAGAGCGAACAGCCCGGAACCCCATATTTGGCCCATAGAGGAGAATATGTGGTATACGTGCAACTAGACGCGAATAGATATGTCGCCCTGTTAATGAACGAGGATGAACGTCCACTTGAAGAATTCCACCCTACCAGATTGTTCCCGTTCGACATATGTTGGCAAGAGCAAATCCTTCTCTGCTCTTCGAGCTACCCTCTATTGTTTTTGGTTTTTGACCTACTTCAGCTGATAAGCCTTCAACACGGTTGCTTCCAGCTTCGACCGAGGCCGTAGGAGAGCTAGCCGAGCCTGGTGTTGGTGGCTTAATCACCCGTTTCACCGGCCTTCTCTGCTGCCTGTAGTAGCTGTGTCCGGCCGGAAGCGTCTCTGGAAGTGAGGTCCCTGCTCTTCTACAACGATCAGAAAGAAATCCAAGAATTCGCCGTGGGTTGAGCTGTGAATTTCTGATAATTTGCTCTGTGGCCCAAGCTCTGGGATGATTCGCAGGAGGCAGGGACCATGCCTTAGAAAACCCAACGGCAAACTTTATATACCACCGCCCATAAAAGCATCTTTTTTGCCAGCCACTTTGTCTCAGCCAGCCACCACCAGGACATCGACACATACACCACCATATGTAGATCATTCGCAAGTACCGATGCGACGAAAGCAAAGATACACAAGCACTCCACGAGGATCTTAGGAGGCGCAAAGTTCCACAGCTTCCAGAACCACCTCCGTGGTCCGTCGGGGTTGTAGCGTGTTTGGTAGGTCGCGATCCACTGGCTGTGCAGGACTGCGTGTAAAGCTCGCCCGATTACATGGTGTTGCAGTATCGAGATCAGCGACAAAGCTAGCAGAAAAAAGGTACCATCAAAGCACAGTTTCTCCAAGTAGCCACCACACAAGGAGCGCTCAGCATTATAAATGAGGCACCAAAGCAACTCATGTCTGATTCCGAGTCGGTCTGAGCTCTGTTCTGAGTTCTGAGGCCGAGCAATGCCAAGTGTTTCGGCAGTGGAGCTCTTTTCAAGGATAAATTCTTGACCGTGTTTCGTTCGTCGAGCAGAGTAGAGTACCCGCGGGGGGGTGGTATCCTGTTCCAAACGGTTTCGTTTTATCATGTGCAGTCAGTCGCAAAGCGCAGTCAAAGCGGAGAAACCATTTTCCGCCATCCACCCGGCTGACCCCGAAGCGTGCCCCCTCGAAGCGGCCAACAATCTGCGAATAGAATACACCAGCCACCCTCTGCAATGTAGGGGGACCGATCATCCGCATGGGTCAGAGCTTCAACAAGGTATATGGCTCTATTGGCATCATTTGTATTGGGACAAGAGAGGAAGAATTGATGCTGTCGAGCATATGAAGAAGGGAGCTCAAAGAATCTCAGGCCCTGTTCGCCTGTTATGCTCAAATGTGAATCCCTCTCGTCCAAGCTCCAACACGTGTCGGTCAGAGAACTTCTCAGGAACGACTTCTCGGGGAGTCCAGGAGTCCACCTTTGAGCTGCCAACTATTCGTTCACAATCCGAGAATAGCAGCTCCACAGGTAGAGTACCAATGCCATAGGCGAGGAGTCTCATGCGCTCGTCTATGTAGAAACAGACATGAATTAGACATAGGCATGAGTGGGGTCGTTGCCTGTGCATCAGGCTAGTGAGGCTGAAATTTTAGCACCATTTCAATGCCACGTGAAGGTTGGGCTGTTTAGGAAGAACGTAATTCCGAGCTTCCAAACATCAACCGACTTTAACACATTGTTTTCTTGCGAACTGTTCATATTTTTAACGAAAAGTCATTGAAGGCGGCATGGTCGCATCTTCAACGACAAACTGAACAGTTGAAATTGAGTTTGAGGCCTCCATTCTGGGATCAAGAGCATATCTATCGCATTTTTCCCAATTTAATCTAACCAAGTTCACAGCAAGCAGTTGAAACCATCCGATTCATGAAACACCCAGCGCTAACTGTTTCAGCCATCGCGATGCATAGGCTGCCAATCCATGTTGGATTCTCGTGATACTTCGATGTATCAGGGACATCTGAACCAGTTGTTGATAACAATCCTGACGGGAGCAGACCCTGGTCGACCACGATCTCCTTGCACGGCGTCACGCTGTCGGTTGCCTCCGCGGGGACGCAATTCGAGCGGTCGATGCTCGCCGTCGGCTGCTAGCCGAAGGCGTTCGTAGCTAGCACGAGCCATTCTAACAAAATGCACCTTCGGCGGAGAACGATGCTCGACTCGTGGACTTGGGGCTGGGGCCGGCGCAGCTGGTGTCGTATCCCTAACTCTTCGGGGCGCGGCAATTTCCTCCTCAACCCGACAACGACGACGAATCAACTTCAATTCTTCCAATCTCCCTTGCTCGCGCTCGACTTCTCGCTGGAGGCTGCATTTGATGGCCTGCAGCTCGGCAATCTCCCAGGCCTGCTCTGCCACAACGCGGGCGGTCTGAGCCTGTGGCTGCTCAAGGTGTCGTCGTTCGAAGAACCGTGCCTCTTGTTTTATCTCTGCCTCCAACTCACTTTGTCTCTGATCCGCACTGGCGCCAGCAGCGGTTGGCACTCCATCATGTGGATCAATCACGACTCGTAGTTCCCCTGCGCTGCCAGCATGCTCATCTCCATCTCTCGCATTCCTATTTCCCATGTGAGGTTTGCGAGGCTGACAGCTCCGACATGGCTGAGCGCAGAACCTCATTTGGGGTCTCAGCCTCGGTTCAACTTTGCGACAGAGGGTGTTGACACAGATCGAGACTTCAGACGAGTTTTCCTGTGGCTTCTTGCCGCAGTCGACACACTTCCACTCTATTGTTTGACGGTAACACATTTTGTGTTTGGGACTGAGAAAATCGAAAACAATGCTGATCTGTGGAAGCCGATTGAGAGAGAGATAGTTGGCGGGCCGGGCAAAGGCTGATAAACGTGGCGGCTAGGCACAATGTGTTGCTCGGCGCAATGATGTGGATGTTGTGTGAGGTGGTTGATGTGTTTTGATTTGATGTTGTAAAAGGCAAGGCTCAAAGATGAATCTGACAATGTACGAGGACCGGCCAGCAGGCGACATGAAAGTGTGATGGAAGAAAACACATGAGCGGGTGTGGACGGGAGGTATATCAATAAATAAGGCGGAAATACAGCTAGGAGAGGAGTCACGATTCTATTCACCACCTATTCAAGATTGTACGGACAGTGAGCCGGTTAGGCCGCACATTCAACGGATCAAAGACATTGTTCAATACCTAAGTAGTCAGTGAATGTCTTACCGGCACAATCATACACGTGTGGTTGGCGATGTGAATTGTCTCTCCATGCGCTTTGTTGAAAATGTTTTGACGCTAGGCAATTAAAGTGAAGTGTGGCGCGCGTGCACACACACACACACACACACACATGTGAGTGACAAGATAAGTGAGGTCAAACCTTGATACTTGAATCTTTTGCTGTTCTATCAGTGGTGGTTCTACATCGATTCAGTCCCCACTCATATCAAGTAAAGTGAAGTAAAGTGAAATGGAATGGAATGAAATAAAGTGAAATGATGTAAAGTGATGTGAAAGTCATGTGAAAGTGATACGAAGTGGGTCCGCCTCGACCATAAGTGATTTTTGCCTTGAATAGGTGCTCCATCTTACTTATGACTTAAGCGCGATGACTCAAGACCAATTTCACCTATTTGTTCTAGACATATCACCATCATAAAATCGCATTACTCAGCGAAATCCATTCATTAGGAAGATGGTAGATAGACAGAACATGTAGACAGACGACCAAAAAAACAATGAAAAAAAAAAAAAAAAAAAGCCCGATCCCCCAACTAGAAAAGTCTTGCCCGGCCCGGCCTTGTTTATTCTTTCGCTTTTCTTCTTTCCTTGTAGTCCCATTCTTAGCTGCTCTCTTGGTATTTATATTGCCTTATTTTCACCAGTTACGCTGGCTGGCTGGCTGGCCGCGTGAAAGCGTGCATGAAAGAGGTGAGGATGCAGTACCAAGAAATTCCCGCCGCGGGTGGGGCGGAGCGGAGCGGAGCGGAAGAGCGTGGACAGGAGTATCATGGGGCATTCAGCTCGATACAGGGCCCGGCGACAACCTCTCTAGCATTTTTGCCGCAAACAGCACTCATCAGTCACCGTTGAAATCCTGGAATGAATGTCTTCCTGTCCCCTGACTTTCCAATTCTCATGGCAGGTATCCGAGCTCATAGCTAATATCAAGCACTCATGAACCTCCAAACGAAGGTCTTTCGTACTCTTTCTCCGCGAAGCCCCTCTCCCACAACCCTCACCCCTCAATCTAACACAACCGCCTCAACTCTTCCCCCCACCTCCTTACCTCGTGTACAGTCACTCCCCATTGCTCCTCTAACAGTCCACCCTCCCTTAACACTCCTTCTAATTCCTCGTCACCCATACTTAGGAACGCCTGCTCCAACATCTCTCCGTCCACTACCCGGAATGGCTCATCCTTCTCTAGCACCTCAGTCTTCCACGCCCGGAATTTACTCCACGGCATATACCCCGGGGCCTGCACTCGGTTTGCCAATGTAGACTGTAATGTCAAAAGCACGTTCAGAAAAGCTGGATTGATGGTGGCCAGCATGTATATCGCACCCTCGATAGTCGCGAGGAACACCCGTGGGGTAACCAGCGGCCCCTTTCGGGGTATCTTGGAAGCGACCTGCTTCTTCGATCCATCGAAAAGCCGATCATCTGAGTCCGAAAACTCGGTTGCCTCCTCGGAGCCCATTGTGTGGTGATTCCTGCTCTCCCTCGCTGGCGCTGGAGATTGTGCCAAGGGGACAATCTTGTTGACAACCTCCCCCAGGCGGAATTCTCCCGTAACTTCCAGCCGGCGGCTAGCATAGCCCAGTCCATCACCACCGTCACCCTGACGGAGCATGGTTAAGTTGCCTTCCATGTCGGCAACAACCCATTCATTTTCATTTATCCATGAAGTGGCCGACGACCAGAGTGTAGCAAAATGGCGGGATATCTCACGGAAAACATATCCTGTTTCGGAAGAGTTATCGCGGGCGATTTGGAGGATGGACAAGGATTTCATTAGATCTGCGACGGCGATCATAGGGGCAGAGCGCTCGGTGCGGGGCGTTACGGCAAGAGAAAGCGGGTTTGTCGACGTGCGGTACGCGGCCAGTTTTTCCAGTCTGAGTGATGGGTCTCCTCTTGTTGATGAGGCCACGAGGCCGTAGAGAACGACCTGGACGCGCCCGTTAGCTACAAAGCCTCAATGAAGGACTGCCGACTCACCGTTTTCACCAAGCCCGCCACAATTTGGCCTTCGTACATGGCTAGACTTCGACAGGCCCCCTTGACCGTGATTTGAGTAATTTCCTTCAGCCTTTTTTCTTTATTCACCTCATAAACCAGTATTCGACCTCTCAGACATTCCTCCTGACCAGGTTCTCTTTCCTCTAGAAGGCTTGTCCCTACCACAAACATCTCCCCGTAGTCGCTCTCTGCCTCGAAAGAACCTGCTGCGACAATACACTCTACCAACTCGTTGTCACGCAGATCTATCGAGTCCAATTGCTTGAAGCTCACTTCATCAGCGATCTTGACGGAGCTCATTATTATTTCCGCGCCGCCCTCGATGGTTCGACTGACGCAGCCCATCGCGAATATCTTGGCCTGCACTTCGTAGGTGAGACACCTGACCGTTTCGTGAACGGGGAGCGTCTGCAATTGAGTTGTCCTCTCCTTGCCGATCAAGGCCAGCTTGAGCTCGCTGGGAGTTGCTATGGCGATGGCCTCGGGATATGCTTCCGAATTGAAGCTACAGACGCGAGATGCACTATCAGCGTTTACAGCCGAATAAATAATGATACCTTCAGAAGAATATATCAAGGAAGGTTGCTCGCATGAGGCGAATATGTTGGACAGTCCTGAGCGGCTGTCCCTAGGTAGTTGCTTAAAGAATACAGGTTCTGTCCCAAGTAAGATCCTCGTCATGTCGGACAGAGAATTATTTGAAAGGTCAAACGAATATGACAGGACCGTGCCATCGGCCATTGCAACAAACAAGGTCGGAGGGGCGTCAGGCAGGACGTCAGCAACCAGAACTGATCGTGGAATATCTGTTCCAGGGGTGCCAAGTGGTTGTGAAAGGAGGATATCGAGCGAATGTAGGTCAAGGACAGCAACGGAGGCGGTTTGCCAGAATGAGACAATACATACGTTGCTCTGCGTGTCTGGAACTGTCACGCCCGAGATTTGCGAGTCGGTTGGGAAGGTCTTTGAAACGGTGGGTTTAGCGTCACTAGTCGCGGCGTGGAAAACATGGAGAGTGTGGCCACCTTCGACCAGGAGAAGATGGACCGAGTTTGCACTTGCAGCTGTTATCTTCGCCGCCGCGTCGGGCGGTTTCCATTCCAGCGTCAGCATACCGGATTCAAGATCTGTAATACGGAGACCAGTCTCGTAAACTTGAACCAGCTTTCGGTCGGGAATATTTGCCGCGAGGAGGGTGGGTTGGGAGAATTCGAGGTGATAAAAGTCGTCCACTTCTTCAACTGAAGCTTCTGCGTCAAATTTGAATATTCGTGTCTCGTTGACGAAAGAGACCAGTAAAGTGTCTTGAATGTCGCCCAGGCCTGTCGAGCTCAAGCCCCATAGATCAATAATGTGAGATAGTTCGCCAATCGTGCCAATCTCTTCCAGACCAACACCACTCCTAACACTTCGAATGGAACCATCCTGCCAAGCGCCAGAAGCTGTCACTATCCTAGCCTGGCCGGACGAGAACTCGGGAGCCGCGCCGCCTTCAGCGCCTCGACCTAGATCCATGATGGTGAAATCCAGGATAGGGGCAATATTGGGGAGGGTCTGAACAATGCGAACACCTTCCTCCTCGATATGGACAACCTGGGAATCGCCCGCATGCGACCCGACGAAGACATAGCCGTCATCGAGATATATCAAACAAGAAGCCTTTGAGGTAACACCGACAGGATCCAATCTCCATGATATCACTTCGGAAAAGCTAGTCTCGATCATCAAAAAGAACAATTTGCCGTAGTCATCTGCGAGGAGCCACCGTTGATCGTCGATTTTGGTCCAACAGGCCCAGATGGTCGAGCTGTCCTCCAGGGGCTGGGTAACGACACTAGTCAAGTCACGGTCGACGTAGCGAATAGCGTGGTCGCCGAGAATCAGGAAGCCCCCGTACGGTACAGGTACGGGGATGAGATGGCTCACGCCCTTGTCGAGCTGATCACCCTTCAATTCGGCTACTGTCTCCAGGTCCGCAGATGCTTGGTCTCCACCAGAACGATACTTGAGCTCTTTCAGCACCAGTTGTGGGTTCTCCAAATTGTCTTCCCACAAGATTGCCAGCCTCGGATTGTCTTTGGAGTCGGGGTCCATTTCCAGAAAAGTAGACGATCTCGTCAGCAACTCCGGGACCCTGACCTGGACCGGCTCGCCGAGAGCTCCGACCTGGGTACTGGAAGTGTTTTCTCTTTTGATCCGTTTGTTGGAAGGTTGTACGAAAGGCAAAACTGATATTACTCCATCGTATAGCTCCAGCGTCATGAACCGCCGCGTAGGGTCAACGTGGCATCTATCCACCTCTTGCGAGCTGCGAAGGACCTTGTCTGCCAGATCCACATAGCTTTGCTCTGTTTGTAGCTGTTTTGTCTGCGGGTTCCATGAACAGGTGAAGTATTGGTAGCGATCTGTCCCGACGAAGAGGTGGTCGGTCTTGGAAGATTCTGGGCGGAGCTTCTCGAGGATGGTGATGTAGCCATAGACGGTCTTCGTGTGCAGCAAGGTCAAGCCTTCCGGTCCTTGCTCGAATATTTGGAGTCGGTTTGCTTTCCTAGAACATACGTTTAGCACACAGCCTGCGGGCGACACAGTGGTTGAAAGAACGCTCACGCGACAATTAGTGTGTCAATAGTAGGCTCTAAGAAATTCAACTTGATGGCATGGCGTACACCGCTTGGGGGGTGGATTGGTACAATATAAGACATTGTCAATGTGGTTTGATAAGTCGTGGTTGCGATCTGATGGAGGGGCAGCACATTCGCAAATCATCTCCCACGGCAAGGCAGCGATGGTAAGCGTCAAGGAATAGCGCAGGCCAACAGAAGGCAAGTTGTGAAAATCAACCTGGTGCGCTTGTTGCAGGACGAACCCTCAGCCTCGAGAGGCCAGGATCATAAGTGGCTGTCAATTGGTCCTGGGGTGAATGACACCGCAGACAATACCGAGTAAGTTGCAGACTTGGAGATAGGCATTTACCGCTCCCGGCTTAGGGTGATGCCGCCCTATTTTCACCCCCACAGCCTCGCGTCTTGTGTGGCCCGTGAGGTTGCATGGGGGCCAGAACGGCAACATCACCGAACGAGACCTCATCTCAAAGTCTCGCTTTAACGGCGATCTATTTTCAAGTACTACTTATTATCAATCAGCCCAGTCATCGACCAAAGTCAATCCAGCGACCGAGTCACCTCCCCACTCAAGCGAGTTCCTTCTTCAAGAACTGGTTTTCCTGCAGCGCTGATTATGTCTATGTCTACGTTGGGACCGCGGAATGTTTTTCTCCCAATAGCAAGCCACAGTGCAACGATAGCTCCAAAAAGTCCCACTAAAACAACACTGGACCAATTCATGGTAGAAACTTCGGTCGGGATAAAGGTAGGGAAACAGTTGAAAATGACAATCGCCGTTACTGCAATGGGAGAGAAGATGTTGCAAAAAAGCTCAAAGTGTCCTAAGTTCAGGGCTGGGGTAGGCAGGATCGAGCGGCCGCGGAACAGCAAAATGCCCTGAGGGATGGAGTACGTTATATTCTGATGAGAACAATTAGTACCTAGTTACGAGCATGGTCAAGAGTAAGCGGAAAGGCCGAGGAAACAGACCAGTTACATGACAGCTGATGTGACAATAGAATTGAAGGCGGTCGTCGAGGCGATGAAGAGCAGCCCGTATATCCAGACGAAGACGATGGACAAAACAGTCGCACGGAGAGGGGTCTATGTGCGAGGGTCGATCTTGCTGAAGTAGTTTGAAAAGGGGAGACCGTTCTGCATATTGGTTAAGTAGTCAGTAAATGGCTTGACCAAAATTCAACCACGAGCAGAAACGGTCAGGCACTTACATCTCGAGAAAATGCCCATGTCATTCTTCCGCAAGTCACCCATTGCGGAGTAATGCACACTGTTTATTACATATCAGCTCCGTTTCCAACTCCCCCCCAGAAAATGGGTGCCCCTACTTGTATAGATGATGGTAATCCAGACCAACATAAATGTGGCGACTCCCTTGCTGCCGGTGACTTGATAGAACAGTTGGATCGAAGGTAGGACCGAGCTGGTCACAGCCTCCATGTCGAGCATTGTGAACATCATCACAGTCAACAAGGGCACGGTGGTGACAACTCCGATGGCGAGAGTGGTGTTCCTGCTCCCTAGTTAGCGGATGTCTAGCATTCTGTGCACTGAAATCGTGTCACATACAGGCACTCTGGAAGAAGCCGACCCGGCTGATGCATTTCCTCGGCGATATGGATGGGGGCGTCTGTGCCGACATATGCAAAACTATCGTCAGGCGCATCTTGTTAGACCTTAAGCTCTGTATTAGCAATGTGTGGCACTCACAGAGCATTCCCGATACCCAAGAACCATGCCACACCGTCTGCCCAACCGCTTGTTCCTTGATTTCGGACCAGGACAGTCTCCCCGGACACAAAACTCTTCTTCATGGCGAGAAGGATGAAAACATATGACGAAGTCAGTGATGGACATGAACAGCACAAACTGCGCCACATGTGGGATGATCTTGGGGAAGAAGATGACTGGACCAACTGAGGATGGACGATTGGTTAGACTGACTTCGGCTTTTTGGAACCCATTATTTGTCGGCTCTGGCTTAGATGGTTATATCTGAGCGATGATCTGAGTCAAATCCTAAATGGCATAGCTTGTGTTGGACCTTCCTTGACCTTCCCTAAGTAGGCATTGTAACCTCTTGTGCCGCGCGAGGCTGTGTAGCTCCAAGGAAGCACACCACTGGTAAGTGACACGGGTGGGAGATGTGGGCCCTTCATTGTCCACGCGTTTTGGTTGATCTGTCGAACACTCTAGCCAGGCAAAGCTCAATACACTCTTTGTGCTTCCAGATTCAGAGTCTTCTCGGTATGATTGGATAGTCGGGCTACCTCTGCGCTGAGTCAGAGAGGCTTCATTAAAACATAACTGCACCAAGAATGTTCCCTCGCTGAGCTGATGTTGGCGATATTGTCAATTTCAAGCCCGCTTCCTCTTCCTAGTTCCGCCTTCTAAGGAAGCCATGAGATGCATTTTAACACATTCAGAGTTTGTTTTGGGTGTCTTTTTGTCGCCTTGTGTGTTGTGGCATGGGGGCTGTCCAAATTCAGGAAACGTGTTCGCGGCCAAGTTCACTCAGTAACACATTCGTGTCTCGCTGAGGAGGCTTCATCACTCAAATCGACCAGAGTAGCAACACTGGACTATGGCAAAATCACCCCTCACAAAGCCCTGCCACTCCACGATGAACCATCATGGCCGCGGGCTTGGAAACCTGGACCATGGCAAATGACTATGGGAATTGGCAAGCTCAATGTTGACGACTGGATCATATACGACAACCTTTTCCTCGATGAGCATAAACAAAAGTTGGAGAGGTTACAAGATCCAGAGGTTCGCCCCATCATCTTTCAACACCAGGACGGCACCTATGAGGCAAGCAAAGAGGCCTTGGGGATTATTATCCGTTACATTACTACTCGATACCCGGATATATTCAAAGTCGAAGGCGACTATCTCCATATACCCTCACTAGGAGAATTATATCGAATACAGGAACCGTTTGACCGGCATCCTTTGGAGGTCGCCGGCCTGATAGTGTATGAGGATGTGTAGTCCTGCTAAAGGGACAGAATGACATGTATTATCTGTAAGTACTGTGCTTCAGCGATGCAAATGACCCATTGCCTACGAACCCTTATGAAAAGACCCAGAGCTGAGCAAACCTTGAATTCTTTAGGGAAGCTTGCTTTCTCTCCTTCCCCTTGGCTGGCGCTTGAAAGAGCGAATCGGCTATCCGATGTTTAAGATGCACCAGGCAGTTCCTCACTGGAAGGAGAAACTACGACGGCCCATGGAAGGGTATGGTAACCCGCTCGACCCCCATCTAATTCTCGCTTTTTCTTCTCGGATCTAAAATACCGTCGTTTAGATTCTTCCTCAGGTTGAAAGAAGGTGGAGGAGTCCAGCGCAACAATCAGTTTATTCAAACAACCCCGGCAATTTATCACCCAGAACCCCTGGATGAATATCCCGTCTGCACATATATCGACCAAGCTCACATCCGTATAGAGCTGCAGAGCCTGATGAGGATGCCGGAGACACAGGGATTGCTGTTTACCATCCACCCGTGGGTGCTGCCAGTTAAAGACCTCGCAAACGAGCCACACAACCTGGAATCGTTATGGAGTCATGCGCGCAGCTTTCCCAAGACTTTCTCAAGCTAAAGCTCAGGCATTTATGGGGCAACGTCTTGGATGAGTTTGCGCAGAAGACTCTGGGGAAGGAGGCTCCGGATCCTCATCTGGCGCCTCCGTCGTCATCTTATCCTTATCTTCGTGTCTCATGCATCTTGTCACTTCTCTAATAATCAGGTTGTCGGTGTTACCTTTTGAGCGCCAACACGGTATTATCGAGAGTTTCTGAGGATCACGAGTCGATGGCAACTCCGGCAGTGAGGGGATCTAGGTCAAGGACAGGCTGCTTGACCTGTCGAAGGAGACATAAAAAATGCGACGAGCGGAAACCGTACTGCGTGAAATGCGAGAAGAATGCTCTTGCTTGTGAGGGATACTGCCAAATGGCCATCTGGAAGCCTCATCTGCTGAGAAACGAGAGGAACCAACACAGGCAACTACCGCCCACACCTGTTTTCTCACCAAGCCTTCGAGATGCTTATATGTCCCTAGGCGCAAGATCTCCTCCGTCACCGAGTCTAAAGGCGACGAAAGCGATATTGTCGATGTTATTTGCGTCTCCTCGCCTGGCTCGACTCCCATTAGATCTCCCTTTACAGCCCCTTCTCCCTCTGATCAGGCGTCGCAGATCTCACCCTTCGATGGTGACAACTCTGTCTACTCCCCAGCTGTTTCTCTATCCGAGCGCCGAACTCTACCTTTACAAACTCATGTCCCCGGTGTTCGACGTAAAACACCAACGCTCAATTTCATGAAATCTCTGCCTTTGCCGCTTCTGGATCCAGGCCAGGACAAGCTTGATGGAGAAGCAGAGCCCCCGGCTTCTTACTCAAAGCCGCCCACTGCCATACCGACCCCAACAATTCCCTACATGATCCATGGCATCGAAACTGCTCTAGAGCACGAACTCTTTCACCATTACATCAACTTTGTGCCCCAAGCCTTCTCCCTGGCCACCATTCGAAGCGCTCCGTTTCACTCTATTTTGATCCCACAGGTTCTTCGCGATCGAGGGCTATTGTATACACTGCTCAGCATTGCCGCAACCCATCTGCTGAACCTAGACTATTCCGACATGAGCGAACCACGACAGAGATCAATCAAGAGCACACGATGGCAATTGCGTGGCAAAGCTCTGAAATGCCACGTGGAGAAAGTGGCGGCTGTGTCAGTGCTGGCTGTGTCAGTGCCGGCGTTTTCGGATTCGAGCGTCCAAGTCAAATTAGATGTTGCTTTGGCGAGCACTCTTATGCTTCTACAACTGGACTGCCTTGACAGTGGCAAGGACGGCCATTGGCGTCTTCACTTGTTCGCCGCATCAGAGCTTGCTCGTCAACGGGTCAAGGAAGGTTGGAGCAACATGGACGCTGACGGAACACCCACAAACTCGAGAGACGACAAGACTGTGGTCCGTTTCTTCCTCGATTTATATCGCTACGACGATGTGCTCGCTTGCGTAACGCTCGACGAACACCCGTGCCCGATCGACCCGGTCTCCTCGTCCGAGAAAACCGGGAGCTACAGTCCTCTGCCTCAAACTTATCATAGCTTACTCTCTATTTTGACGCAGATTGTGGAACTTCGCCGGCGGGCTCTGCCCGAGCTGTCGTTGGACCAAACCTCTTTTGACCGAAATCTCGCAGATGTAAACACCGATGAATTCACGAAAAGTTTGGAGCTTTGTACACTGATTCAAAACTGGAAGATCAAGCCCGATTCACAAGGAGACATGATCCTAGGCGAAGTTTACCGTCGGGCCTGCTTTATCTTTCTTTATCTCACCACTTATCCGTACGACATCGCTGATGCAAAGGTCAAATGTGCTCTCGAAGAAGGGCTGGCACATCTGGATCTTCTTGCCTCACATGAAATTGCTCTTAAATGCGCGACCTTTCCGCTCTTTATCTTTGGCATAGCAGCCTTGCAGCATGACCAACAAGACATGGTTACCAAGGTTCTCGACCTTAGTTTCCGTCAGTCCGGCATTGGCAACGTCAAGGAAGTCCTCACTTTTCTCAAAGAATGGCGGATTCGAGGATACGACCAGAATAATCTGACTTTTTGGCTGTGGGAGGACGAGATCAGAGCCAGACAGATGTATCTGTTTCTGGTGTGATGTGAGTGCAACAGGTGACCAATGACCATTCATTAGATATCCGCCTTCAGCACGAAGCGATACGAACAATCACCTTGACTCAATCTTCGCAACGCCTCGCCGGCGTCCTTCATCGGAAGTATCTCGATCCAAGCTCGAATATTCTTTTCGGCGACAAACTCGAGCATGTCTCTCATCTGTCTGCTGCTGCCAATCATGGAACCCACGATTGACTTGTTGGCCCCGACCAGGATACCTGGAGGAACCTCTGGAAGATTCTGCTCGCCCACACCGACCAAGGCGAACTGGCCGCCAACGTCGAGCAACTGAAGGTACTTCTCCAAAGGCATATTATTGGCGAATGCCGTCGAGATGATGAGGTCCAACGAATTTTTGTTTTGCTCCGCCCATTCCACTTCATTTGTGATTACAATGAAACCGGTGGCTCCCATCTTCGCTGCGCCTGCCTGTTTCCGCGGGCTGTGTGAGATCGCCGTCACCTCAGCGCCCATGGCAGAAGCGAATAAGACGGCAACATGGCCCAGCCCCCCGATTCCGACAACGCCTACTCTCTTTCCAGGTCCAACGCCTGCCGTCCTCAAAGGGCTAAACACAGTCAGACCTGCGCAGAGCATGGGCGCGGCATGTTCGGGCGGCAAAACAGGGGGAATCGGAAAGACAAAGTCTCGATGGCACCGTTTGTAATTGGCGTATCCGCCATATGATCTGGATCCGTCGGGATATTTGGAGTTGTATGTCTCAACCAGGTCAGGCTACATGTAGGGCAAAGTCGGTCTCATCGTTCCAGCAATTCACCAATGTGACATATGCGGCTTTTGGATTGACCGTACACAATAGTTTTCTCGATTGCTGTGACACAGCCTACAGGAACCACATGTTGCTGAAAGAACTCCCACCCCAACCAGCTGTCCGATCTGGAATTTGGATGTGTCAACCAATCCCCCAATGCGAACTATCTTGCCCACGATCTCATGACCTGGGATGACTGGATATATTGTTTCTCGCTGTTATTTTTATGTTATATTAGCAAAACTGTTGTTGCATGCTTGATGTCGCGGACTGGAGATGGGACAAGAAAATATCAGAAAATATCCACCCAGCCATCATTCCCTGCCCCAGCGCGGGCGGTCAGCAAGTCGCTGGCACAGACGCCGCAATATCGGATTTTGACGTCGATTTCGTGCTTCCCAAAGGGCACAGCATCACATTCGATGAGTTTAGGACTGGACCAGGCGGAGGGTGAGGTGATGGCGTATCCTGTGAATGAACACTTATTAATCATGAAGTCCTTGCGGCGATCTAGGCCGATCCAACAATGTACCCTTGAAGGAACCAGACGACATTGTTGCGGTTAAAATATCAGTTAAGTCCAGAGGCTTTGTCGCAGGCAAATCGGTTGAAATGGAAGCAACGTGACAAGACAACGATTACTGGCAGAGCACACATTCTGTCCGTCTGCTCTCGCCTCGAGCTGTAAACTATCTATATATACAGTCCGTCATACTGCTCGGGCTTAGCCTGGTCATGCTTTTAACCGGCGACGTTTGAAAATTATCGCCTTCGGCAAGCGAGACAAGTAGATTCATGATTGTAATTCTGGAAGGGCTGTCATCTCCGTTGTGGGCCCCAACTCCAGGTAGATCTGAGATACTATTCCATTCTTGGGTGTGCGAACCGCGATTGCCGATGGGCGGGTCGCATCTTCTTAAAGCAACATCGATAGGTGAGGGTGAACTGATGATAAAGAAACGACTTGTTCAGCGTACTTGTCACATGAAGAATCGGACTAATTAGACTGAACGGTTGCCGCCCGAGGACCCGAGGAGATTTTTCACCATGGCTACCACCACGACTACTACCACCAAGGCAGCACCGAATACATTACAACTGCCTCCTCCCAGTGTCAAGCATGGCGGAGTCACCATCTCCTACGAACGTCTCAATGAGGGTTACTACAAGCGATGGAGCCCTCGCAAACGGTCCCAACTGAACGTCTCGCCCCCACAGCTGAACAACCGAGTTTAGCGTCACAGATGCTCGGAACTAATTCGTCTGTCTCCAGCAACGTATGGCCATCTTCTTCTCTTAAAGATTGATTGGGACTTGACGCCGAATTCGAGTGTCTCTTCATGCGTTGACTCACTTTGTTTTTTTGTTCTGTGCTGACTCAAGCTCTCTGCGCCATTTAGCCCATGCTCGGCTAGGTCGACTTCAAAGATCCTCGCGTCGTGCTTGATCCGACCGCTCCACGCGTGGAAGGGGGGTAGCTGCTCAAGAAGGGTGCTCGATGTCACCGTTACTACGTGCAAAGTCAATCCAAACACTCCCAAAGTTCCAGGATCCTACGTAGGGTACGAAGCGCGATCTCTACAGTCCAGGAGCTAAGTTGGACGTTGCGAACTATGGTCTCGGCCTCGGCACTATCGAACCAATCCTATGTAGTCACGCTACCTCTTCCATCCAACCCAGATTTCCTCTACCGATTTCTTGACTAGCTCCAGTTTCTCCCATACAAGTTTCATGTCACAGGCAAGCTCCATTCATACACCCGTACAACTTATCGGTGAGCGACATGGCTGATTTCCCCCCCTAAACGGGCACATCCGTCAATGGTCCAATCCCTTCCTGTCAAGCCCCCTCGCATTAAATCTCTTAGCGAGAATCTGGTATCGACAGACCGAATACAGTAGCGAACTCGGACTCGAATCCATCGAATATGAGTATTCATGGAATCCTCACGTAGAGGTATGTCTCCGCCTAAGTAAGATCTGGAGTCTTCGTGTGTGTGAGGAAGATCGTTCGGCTGTCTCTCTCTCTCTCTCTCTTTCTTTAGCAATGTGATGTTGGTACAGGTCGCCATTCCATATCCGTGAGAAACATTGCTCATTACGCCTGATATCATGATGGGTTGCTGGCCGCCGCTGGCTCATAATGTTCCCGAGTCGCTCAAGCACCACACATGATCTCCTGTAGGTCTTAAGGTCGGCGGTATCACTAAATGCGCCGACCAGCCTTAAAAATGCACACCAAAGAAATACCCGCCCCAGCTTTCACCCACCACATCTCGCCTTATGATGTCCCAGCTTTGTCAACGCACAGCCACCACCATTCCAATGTCTGATATCCCTTTGATCCATCATCCATCTTTGCAAAACCGGACTGTATGCACCACTGCATGATGAGTTCCACCTCAGCTTCATCAGGCACAAATCCAAAAGCCCTTGAAATGTCCAGGGCCGACACACCCGGCATTTGTGAGACGAGCCCGATCACGCCAACAAGAAGCATGTGCCAAAGTGTCATTTGCACATTTCCATGAATGTCAACCCACACTGGGATTTTACCACTGGGTTCATCTGCATCCCCGCGCGGGACAGCGATCCGGCGTGCTTGTGACTCGCCAGAGATGGAATCTCCAAAAAGATATTCCTTCGTCGGCGTGAGCTCGATGCTGAAACCTAACAGTTTCTTGTCCATGTTCTTGGTCCGATACCCTATACGTTCGTGATCTATGCCATAGCGAGTCTTTGGCACGTCCGCACCTGGGCGGAGCTTGACTCGTCCTGATGCCATCAGGTTCAGCACTGCCACCATCTCTCCATCAGAAACAGGGCCCTCTTTGTCAACCACGACAGTATTTCCCCTAGCGAACTCGCGGTCAAGGACTTCCGATTTATATCTGACGGCACGACGCAGTACATTTGGAGTGACCGTGCTGCGCTCCTCAAATCGTTCAAAGAACTTTCGGTGAGCTTCCCAACTGCGAATGCTCGGTCCTTGCTCCGATGGACGATCATTGAGTCTCCGCTGAATGATTTTCTCCTCCTGCAGCAATTTTAGTGCACGGGAAAGGAGCACGTCGCATTCCATTGGACTTAAGGCAAGGGTGGACAGTTTGGCGTGGGCCAATTCTGGATTGAAAACGGATTCTGGAGTGAAAATGGTCGCGAGCACCCATGATTTAGCAAGCCGAAGGTCTGCTTTGGCCATCTCAAGTTCGAAGCCATGTTGATACCGAAGGTTACCGGGCTGCACTGAGGAATGGGGATATGTGCCGAAAACTGAGCACTTTGCGACATCCTCTTTGACATTCATCGTGGTGTTATTCCATACGACATTGTGGAAACATTTGGGTTGAGTGAATTCCAAGGCATAGGTGTCGAGCAGCTCATCCCGATTAGCTGGAAGGTCTGCAATCCGCTTCAAATTAAAATGGTCGAGGTTCTTCAATGCCCACTCAACAATCGCTCCCCAGTCCGTGGCGTTGACGCCCTCGAAGGCGACGGACGATACCTCGCCCGCTTGTAGTGCTTTCAAGTACTTCGACTGCAGGTCCGCCGTAAGACTCTGTATATCCGAACTGTATCTGTTTGATAGCGTATTCCAGCGAGCTTTGATAATCTCTTCCTTTTGATTGGGGAAGAGCGTCATGACAACTTCCCAGTTGACGAGGCTTTCGATACCGCCTGCTAATGTCCGAACGACAATGACAGCAACGGCAATTCGGGAAATCATCTCTTCTGGCATCGTATGCAGCCACCTCGCACTTCGGCGGACCTTTTGGATTGTGGCATTGAAAGCCGAAACTGCCCTACGTCTCGAAGGAGTAGCCGCTGAGCCTCCTACGCCTTTCCTGCGCCGTTTAGATGGAGGTGGCGGGAAGAAGCCATGGCCATTTTCAGAGATTCTGCGCTTAGTCCCTCTATTTGATCGTCGAGGGCCTCGTCCAGGGGAAAGTGGTGGCATCAAGTGCAAGTCTGCCTCGTTGACTGCTGCAATTCGGGAGGTGATACCGGGCGATGCATTTAGGGCGAGCACAAATGTTGGCCATGATTCAACAGGCGGATAAGCAATCTCGAGCTCGATTCCATCCTCATCGAATTGCACAAGTCCCTTAAACTCGACTGCTAAGGGAAGAGCTGTCCGCGCATACAATGCATTTGGGACCAGATGATTGATGAAGGCGAACTTAGAGCGCTTTGACTGAGCGGTGTCCGGTTCCTGTTCTTCCCAGGCACGAACCCCTTCGACCTCACAGGCAAAGCGTTGCCAGTCGACATCGTCAGCTTGAAATGCATCATAGTCCAACTTGAGATTGGGACATTGCAGGATATCCTGCAAGGAGGAGGGGAAATTTCGCCATATGATTGATCTACCGGCTGGCTGAGTGCGTGGCTCTTCAAACCTTCGCCGGTGCCGAGATAGTAGAAAGGCGCTAGATTTCCAAGGATTCGCATCGGAAGTATCGGAGCGCAATGCACTCACGGGACATTCCTTCCTCCACTCATGGAGATGCACAACTGGAAGCGAGCCCAGCGACGGAACTTTCAATGTGAGGAAACTGGTTGCAGGGTCCTCTGGAACCGGTGGGAGAGAGGGTGTGGTTGTTCTTGTGCGGCTTCGAGCACGCCTGCTAATACTGGAGGCGATAGTTCCATCTATTCCCGCCGACGATGCATGTCGGCTCCTCGGTGGCCGTTCTGCAACCTCAGGCGTCCTGGTTGGAGCCCTTTTATTGACGAGGGGAATACGGTAGCCTTCATCTTTCCATTCGGGAGGAATATAGTCAGTGGGTTCCGCGTTGATAATCTTCTGCTTCACGTCCTCGACTGACTGCGATGAACTGTCGATGTGTGGCAGAAAGATGACCGAACGCTTAACCATGGTTCCAGACTTTCCTCGGAATGCGAACATGACCTGCTTTAGTCTTTGCGAGTCGTTTAAAGACTTGATTGCTGCTTTGATGGTCTTGAGCCCGGGTCGACCTTCTTCTCCAGCCTCTTGCCAGCGAGGCAACGAGATTCGTCTCAGTGCCGATGGATCGTTTGGCACAACCCCTGACGTTTCCTGAACCAACTCAAGAATAATTCTCTGACAGAGAACATTGGCGCCTTGAACATAGCGTTGCTGAACATAGCGTTGCCTTTCTTGGCCGTGTCGGTCCTTTGGTCGCGATTCCTCTCCCGAGTTCCCGGCTTCAATAGACGCAGCTCTTGTTCTGCCTGCTTCAGAAGCACGTTTTTTGATACGGGGCTTTGGTGGGACGGGACTTTCCTGCGAGACACGGTCCTTCATCTCTGCTGCCAGATTGTTCTCTTGCGGTTCACCGCTCACAGAAGGATTTCCAGATACAGCAACTTCGACGATCTCCTCCGATAGTTGACGTGACAACAGAGTCCCGACGTGCTGTGCTTCCTCTGGTCGGACTGTCGCGGCTTCTGTCGCTTCGACCCTATAGTTACCATCGGGATCCATCTGTTTATTGCTGGCAGGAGAGGGCTGTATGCAATGAGAGATTCGAGTTAGGGCCATATCTGAATATGAGATGACTCCGGATTGCTGCTCCTCCGTAGGCTTGTGTTCAATAGACGAAGCTGATGATGCATCCACAGCTGATACTTCAGATCTTCGACTAAGGGACTCATCCTGATTGCGAAGTTCAAAATCTGCAGGGATGACTTCGGAAGACACATTTTGAGTTTCAGAGAGACGAAAATTATGGCTTTGATCTGATTGCAACAAGTCCATCGCTTTCTGTGTCAGCTTCCGATTTCTGGAAGATCTGATTCGAGGGCTTTCGGTGATGTCAAGCTTCGACCTCGGTGACGGTGGTATTTCTGGGCCGCTGCTTTGTCTCTGAGTAGTCCGTTGTGAGCCTCTCCTGCTTCGACCATTGTCAAGTCCTGCTTCTTTGGAGGAGAGAGTCTCATTTATCGAGGCAGGAGACGACGCTCTAGTCTCCAGAACATGCTTGCGAGGAAGTCCTTCTTCTTCATCAGTAGTGGCCATTAATATGTCCGCTGAAAGTTCAATATCGGTTGAACTTGGAAGTAGGGGAGGTAATGTTGTCGAAAGAGCTGGTTTTTCATAGAAGACGCCCAGCCGCGGCCCTAGTTTCCTCTTTCCTTCGGCCTCACTGAGTGCGACCTGTCTCGGGCGCTTCAATCTTCTGGGCGTATGTGGTACAGAAGGCTCTTTGGAAGGAAGGTTGGGGTAATATCTTCTGAACATGGAGCTGTGTGATACACTGGAGGAGATGAAGCGAAACGGGTAGACAATGTTCCTGTCACTGAAGTCGACTGATTTTAAGCGTGGAGTTCTCACGATCATTCTCTGGGCTAATCTCTGGTTGTTGTCAGAGCGTAACCCTTTGGGAGACATATAGACCCCATCTGACGATCGCCCAAGAACGACTCTTGTCGAACGAATCCAGGCGTCGTTGATATCTTGTGGAAGCCCAGGGATCGGCAATCCAGCCTGCAAAGCCTGCACCAGGGTATTATCGAAGTCCTGCGGACGGCGGGCGTATAGCGCAATGGCCGAGGGATCTTGTGCGGTCCCTTTTTTAAGATCGTCGTGATTTGCACCGGCATCCAGTCTAGCTTGCTTAAACTGCATCCGCCAGAACTTTTCTGTACCTCGCATGTACTTGCGAGGACGACCAATTGCAATTTTCTCCTCGTCGTCGGAATCTCGGAGGCGTTTAGGCAGTCGTCGCGTTGGCTTAGTGTGCTGACCGGGAGGTAAGCGACGAGGCGCCTGGTTCCTGGGGCTGGACAAAGCTGGACCGTCGTCACGTAGTTTTATAGTCAAGTTCGTCCCTCGTCTGACAATGGACGGTTCTCCATTCCGCTTTTTAACATCTCCAGGTGCAACAGCTTCTATCAAATCAGAAAAGGTGGCCTCGCCGTTCCTTAGTTGGACGGCCGGCGGGCTTTGCAACGGAAACCCAAACTCATCAATATCGACAGAATCTGAAGAGGTTCCGTCACCATCAAAGCCAACATCCTTTTCTGCCAGCTTTTCCATGATTTGAGGAGCAGCTGGAATTTCAGAGGGGTCAAGACCGCATCCTGCCACTCTTTGCCGAAAGGCGTCCCACGAGTAATGAACATACTGAGCGACCCCGTCATACCTCACAGTAGTTCGGACAATAGCCAGGTGTCGCAAATGTTGTGGCTGAATGACAAGTGATTCGCATGAAACTCGGAGGAGAAGAGACTCTAACTGACGACGCACAAAATCGCCAGTGATCATTTGGCGCGCATTCTGCAAATTTTTAGTATCACGGCAAAAACAGAGGAGCTGAAGACTTACCAGATTTGTCAGACCATCCGGACCTGCAAATCGAACAGCATCAACTAGAACATTAGGCATTAGGCGATCAGGGTTCCATCTGGCAGGTCTGTACACAGCTTCGAGGGAATCTTCATTTGCCTCCTCGACCGTAGGAAGTGCGACGTTGTGGTCGTTGTGGTCGTTCCGGTCTTCGGAGTCAACGGCAGATGCTAGTTCCTCAATTGTTTGGTTTAAAGACAAGCTCTCCGTGTCAAAGTTCTCTAGGTCGGCCGCGTCGGCTCGGCGCAAAAGCTGAACGAATTGTCGCAGGTCGCCAGACGTCGCAGAAGGTCCGATGGCAGTTCGAACTCTTTTGACACACTTCATCTTCTCGAGCCGACGGATAATTTTGGAAAGGATGGCCGACTCTGCTGAAGACCTTAGGCTCAAATTTTCCGCTAGACTCGTCTGAGACATGAGGCTGTGGTCTTCCAACACCTCAAAGATTCTGCGGACGACATCGCGCAAAGTAGAACCATGTTGTGGTAGGCTGTGCAGTTTATGGAATGGCTCGGCGTCTACTGCATTATGGCGGGCAAACTTTCTTAGGGTGAGGCGGCTTGTCCGATTACCATGGCGGAATACAGTCGCCTTGGTAATGTAGCCTTTGGTTTGCAAAGCATCCGTCCGCTTTGGTACGGAGCGTTTATCCTGACCGGTGGCTCTGACAAGGTCCCCCTGGAGAATGCCAGTTGATCTTGCTGCGGCGATATGAGACAGGAGTTCGAACTCAAGAGGCACAACCTTGCTGCTATCTGGAGGATGGCCACATATAGCCTGATAGATTCGTGCCTCGTTAACAGAGATTCGTGGACCTTTGGCAACATAGGCTTTCTTGGAACTCGGTCGCTTGTTTGGTGTTGGGCTGGCGAGGTGCGAACCGTCCGACTCGGCCTCATCCTCGGCTGGCTTCTGCCTGTTGTTGAGACCAAGGTCCAGGTAGCGGGGAAACTGAATCTCGACTTCGGCCAACGGTGTCTTGTTGTATCGTCGATTGTCGCCGATGGAGACATCAGGATGCCGACCTAGCCATAACCAAATCTTGGAAAGGAGAGGGCGGTCAACTGTGACACTTGGGCATGGATCGGGTCCATCAACGGGCGCATTTGCTTCTGAGTCATCTTCGGGTTCGTCGTAGAATGAAGAGACGAAGAGTGCAATATCATTGATGGTTACGCCTGCGCATAAACCTGCAAGTTAGCATTCGCTGGACATCGTTGATGTCGTGAAGGAGATGCATAGATGTGGGGCGGACGCAGTGGTGAAGAATGAGGCTTGATCATCGCCACTGGAACCTCGGATCCTGCAGCTTCGGGATGAAAATGCACGCGAAACCAACTGACCTTGACTTCCGCTGACGGCAATTTCCTCGAGCAGAAACTCGATCAAATCGTCCAGGCCCTTCGCCATCGTCTGAACCCCATCTCATGATGCGGTGAGCAACTAGTGGAGAAACTTGGTTGCTTAATTCAAAGGATCTTCGACTTGGTGACTTTTTTTTTCTTTCTCCGTCGTTCACATTCCGCTCCTTGGATTTTTGACTGTGGCCTTGGCAGACGCGATCTTGTCGCTGATTGGCCCCAGCCATCACCGCCTTGGTGAAGCCCTTTCTGGTCCTACCGAGTACAAATTATTATTATTATTACAACGCAATTAGTACCCTCCGGTTCTAGATGAGTGTAATCAATCGCAAAGATTAATGCTAGATCTGTCCAGGATCCGCATCTCCCTCCAGTGACACTGTCTACATCGAACAGGTCCTAAGCCGGGACTGTATCATGGAACCCCTGCCATTGGCGGCATATAAGACCCAGCAAGAGAACAACGCAACATCCTTAAAAGTCAGGAATTTCTCTATGATCCATCTAAAAGGCAATGTGGTCTGTTGTATTTGGCCAGCCTTGAGTGAACATGCCACTGCGAGTCGAGAGACTGTCTCTTCCACTATTTTTTCCCTCAATGCCTCGATCCCATCCTTGTCACAGACTTTCTCTGGCTGCAATCCCGCACTTTCCCCCTCCCAAACTCCTCCATGTTGGATAAAGCAAGCAGACTCCCGATTCCTTGCATTTTTGGGAACAAGTGCGAAGACTGGAGAATAGCCAAAAGTGCTGAAACCTGCCCCCCCACACCGACGGTACTTCGAAAGCCGTAGGTCGGCCAGATATGGTGAGAGACGAGTTGATGTACAAAGGGCCGCACGAGGTGCTTCTGGTGACAGCAAATGTGCTGAGCGAGAGTTCGCGCGACCTGGAGTTGGAACTTTGATACGGCATTAGGACGCCGCTCCTCTGGACGGTCCGTATCGCCGGTTGCCGCGTTGCTTTTGCGGCTTGGACACCGTGCTCCAGCCATCTTCTTCCAGCTCTGTAGCAGTGCTGGCTGCGGGAGGCTGGGCCGCCGGTACATTCCTCCAAGAGCCGTTGGTCTTCGCAGAAGTAGGGGTCTGCACAATTTCCTTAGGCTTAACTGCTTTGTCGTTCATTGGTTGAGGCTGTTCTTCACCCTCATCATCGTTTTCATCATCTGCAACCATGTCGTTCATGCCCGAGTCAGCACGGCGGAGGATGTCAAATTTTGGCGTAGATTGTGCGTTGTCCTCGCCGTTCTCTTTCGCGGCGTTGGGGTCCTTGGGCTCTTTGGGTTCCTTGCTCTCCTTGCCGGTCGTTTCCTTGACTCGCTCTTTATCCGACTCAGCTTTTTCCTTTGCCAGTCTCTTTTCCTCGGCTCTTTCAGCCTTTGCCTTTTCCTCGGCTTCCCTTTTCTGCCGGATCGCAAGTTGGCGCTTTTGTTCAACTTCCTTCTCTTTGGACGCCGTGTCAACCGGACGAGCTGCTCCAAAGGGGCTCGATTTGGAATCTGCAATCGGAACCGGGGATGCTACCGGTTCCGTTTCGGAAACAGTTCTCTTCTGCAGATTCAGTTTCGGCCTGGTCGCTGGAGCGGGCGGCGCCGCAGGAGAGGAAGGCTCGCTGGCTTCGGGAGTCGGGGCTTTGGCGGTATCAGGCCTCATTCGAGCGCGCCATTGACTATCAAGTTCGGATGCAGTCGGCTGTCGCTCAGGAGGGGGGCGTTCAGCATATTCGCGTCTTGGGGGTCGAGACCCGTCTTGTGATCTCCCCTCGCCCCAGGATGGCGAGTTCTTGCGGAAGCCGTAGCCTTCCTTGCTTCCTTGTCTACCACCCTCACGCAGACTTGTGGGTCCAGGGGTGACCGGTGATAACGGACCTTTTCTTTCCCAATTCGAGAAGTCCCGGACCTTTCCATCTCCTTCCCCAAACCCACGCCGATGGCCTCGTTCGCCGTGGCCCCTCTCACTGCCAGCGTCTGACATGTTGTCAAAGCTTCGGCCTCCATACCCTCCTGGCCTGTCGGAAACTCTGCGTTGACCCGGCAAATCTGGAAGAGGTCCTTTTCTTGACCAGTCACTGAAGTCCCGGGTCTCATGTCTCTCCTTTGCTAGCCAGAGAGTCAGTTCAACTCACAGAAGGGACTCGGAGGTAACTCACGTGGTTCTGCAACGCTGATACGGACCTGACGACCTGCCAGGTTACTGCCGCTGAGAGCCAACGCAGCCTTAAGACCATCCAACGTTGCAAATTCAACGTAACCGAATCCTTTAGGCTTGCGATCTTGCTTGTCTTCAACAATGCGGACATTTGTGACCTGACAATCTCTAAAGAAGTCATTTATATCTCCCTGCGTAGCGTCGAATGATAGATTCGCAAGATGTGCGGTGAATGGCGGCTGCGTGGGAAGGGGGAGTTGTTCTCTAGCGGGGAATGTGTCGCGGCGCTCTGTTGTTGGTGACAGTCTCTGGTCAGCAATCTGCCGTGCTGGGTGATCTAACAATGACTAACCTGCATAACCATTGCCCATGCCAGTAGTGGTGCTGAATGCTCGTCGTTCTGACCCATAGCTTGGTCTTGCGTCGGAGGCTGTTGTTTCACAGATATGTCAGTATCCATTACCCCATGGTCCTTTCATCAGCCAGTACGCAGGGTGCTCACTAGGGAGGGGCATATCCTCCATCTCATCTGCCCAAGAGCCATAGTCTACCAACAGTTAGCATCTCAGCTCGGCTGCACTCAACCTAGGGTGGAACGCACTCTCGTCCTGCAAAAAAGTCCCTAGGGACATTTTTTGGTTCTTTTTGGGAGCTAGTCGATGTCAGCAGATGGATCTCGCGACAACAGCCGTGGCGAAGGCTACGCGCTGAATGTCGCCATGTGCTCATACCCATGATTGCGAAATCTCAGCAGGCGCACTAAATGGGTACGTCCGCTGGTGGATTCGAAAATACGAGTCGGATGTCGCAGCCCAAGCACGTCGTTGAACGCACTTCGACCAGACAGAGGCGTGAAATTGATGTTGTTTGATAGCAGACGAGGTGCAGCGCCTTTTGGATGTCGGCGCAGTGGATGTGTACGAAAGTCTTGAAAGATTTGCGGGTGGTAGGAGAGACTCTGCAGGCAAGTTTGTCCGGCCTGGAGCCATTTCTTTCCTGACCCGCTTGCTGCCCGTTTGGGTTTAACGCACCAGTTCAAGTTGAGGGCTTGGCAGGATCCTCAAGATCCTCCGTCTCCGACTCGATAGGCAAGCCGAATCTACGAAGTATTCCCAACTCACTGGCCAAATTGTCAGCTGGTCCTTGTCCTTTGCTTTTGTACGGAGTCCTGAGCTGTACGGAGTATAATGCACTATGTCCGAGCGCCAGCCTGACGTTAGCAACGGTGTCTTCTGGAAGCCGTTTATGCCTGCCCTCTACATTGGAGCTGCAACCGGTAGGAAATCATCCTATCTGAAAAACAATTCAGAGACCTGATTCATTGACTCTGGCAAACAGGGGCTTGTGGTGCCGCATACGGTGGTGTAGCCGGCACTCTCATCCAGACTTCAAATCCATTAGCATATACTACAATCTCTGCAACGCAATGGTTCTGTGCAGGCACCACCTTCTTCTGTCTCTGTCTCTGTTCAAATTTCGGGCTGGCACTAGCTAATGTTTCGTCAGATTGCCGGAGCGTATTGCTGGCAGGACCTTTATCTCGGGATAAAGACTTGCACAAAGTCGCCGCAAGTGGCATTGCAGGTTCATGCTCTGGAGCAGTGATTGCAACCTTTTGTGAGTTGCGGATGCAAAGCAGAATGCACATGTTTTGACAGTAGTCAGTGCCTCGAGGAAGCCTGGTGACTGGCAGCATCATGTTCGGAGTGATTGCCGCTCTGTCTCAGGCAGGACTAAACGCCGCGGAAGGCTCTCCGTCTATTACTCAACTATCTTCCCGCCTGGGGAACGGTTTCGCTGCTTTTACTCCTATGAAATCTCTGTCAGACAAAGAGTATGAGGATTTACTTTTAGACAAACTCCTCAGAGTTGAAGCAGAAATCGGTGTACTGGATGACAAGATAGCAATTCTACGAGCAGCAAGGAACGAACACGTTAGCTCCCAGAAAAAGGAGCCCCAAAGTCGTCCGAGCTGAGAACTGCCTTACAACATCCAGTTATTCGCCTATCATCATGTTAGCCAGGATGAAAGGGGTTATGGGCAACGAAGAGGGCGGCGGCGCCCATCAAGCAGACAACTCTAGGAGACGCCCACTGGAAAGCGAACCCCCTCCGAGCTTAAGAAGGAAGCCTGCGGACCGGTAGTATCCCTGGATGGAACCCAACATACTGAGAAGGCAAAAGAACAGAAGGCAAAGGTCTGCAAAAGTACCCACACAAAAAATTCGGGCTTTGGGACTGACAGCCTCCAATGAGACACGCATTCAGCCGTGCCAGCCCTACTCCAAACACGGCAGAGATACGGGAACAGCCAGAATCAGGAACCTCAAGTAATTGGTAGTCTCGGTTCGACAGATGAGGATTGGACATAGTGCCAGATACTCATGGTCAAGGACCATTGGCAGCGGCAGTTATTTGTTGCACTATGATATGTATGTATAACAATTTTAGCATAGAATGGAACAGGATGCTTCAGCAAGCATTGCCGCTTGATCCTCTAGTCCATCCTTCTCATCTTTTACACAGGCTGACTCACCGATGGATAGCTGCTTTAGGCTGCATATGTGCAGATGAGCATCCTTGAGCATCTTCCCGGAGCGGCTGGTGCAGCGTGGCTACTTACCGCTCCACCCTCGAGTCCGGATCCTCCACCAGTTCCTCGTATTTTCTGGCCCGCACCCTGCGCACCCTCGCGACATTCCTGCTCCACCACGAGCTTTGATTGATATTGACCGGGCTTGCCGGCAACCTTCTCCCTTGCTGTCGCACGACTTTACTCTACTGCTGTGAAGTGCGATAGAACGGTATATCTTTCCCCGCGCCTGGAAAATCTGCTCATTCACCTCACCACGAGCCCGAGGACTACCTCAACAGGCGATCCCCCACACATTTTAAGAACGCACCCCCAGCTTTTGAATCTCTTCGCGAAGCCACGCATCCCCCCGTTGTGTCAATACCGCGTTGTTTCGGTCCAAAGTGTTATGGGAAGAGTGATGGGAAAGGATCTGTTGGCTATGTGGCTTCAGAGGGACTGCAGTCTCGACGATGGCGATCTTAATCATGAACTGAGATGACACAAGTAACCGCCGCCTGACTTCTATTGTCTTTCTCCGGTCGGCGCTGCAGCACACGCAGAGAGTGCCGAAACACGAAGATGCCTCTTGTTAATGTCACCTCGGTCGCCGCCGTTCTCCTTCTCCTCTATCTATCCTCCTTTATCCTACTTGCGATTCTGCGGATTGCGACTGGCATATCAATTCAACGCATTGGCTACTTTAGTTTGCGGCATATCTCATACGCTCCAAGAGAAGGACTGAGAATCGACCTGCGAGGAGTTGGACTGAGCTTACGCAGGCCGACTTTCGCCCAACCGACATGGATCAGTATTATGTTCGAAGATTTGAAGGTCACCATCGATCCTGCCGCATTGGAAAACACTTCAGCAAAGACAGGCTCACAAGACATTGTTCAAGGGAAGCCAAATGAAGATGAAGATTCACGTCGGCATGGAGGACGTCCCCCCAGCGAGAAAAGCCAGCTTTGGAAACGGTTGACCAATATCAAAGAACACATCAAGCGCTTGCATCGCAAAATCCACCTGTTGCGAATGTTCGATGTCACTGCCTATAACACCTCTGCGGAGATCGTTGGAGTCGGTTATTTACAGATTTCGGCCTTTTCAGCGGCCGTGTACACCAGACGAAAGCTCCTTGACCGCGGCCGACTCTTCCGACACAAGAAGGATCCCCTGGGAGACCAGAAGCCGGCGGAATGGGTTTTCACGGTCAAGAGCATCCAGATGGGAGTTGGTGGCCGCGATCCGATTGAGATACTTGATGCTCTGACGATCAACGTGCACGGGCTGCTGTATAAAGATCGGGAGGGTCTTCGGGACACCTCGATCGCGATAAAGGGTGGCCGGGTCTACGTCCCTGTCGATGAGATGATTCACTTCGCGCGGAAAGGTAGGAGGACGGCAAGAGCCTCTGAACAATATGACCAACTGAGTCCAATCGAAGAGATTTCGTTTGAGGATGTGGCGGAAGAATTGGACAGTCCTGGAAGCCGTGAAGCTGCTATTGTGCAAACCGTGGCGGACTCGAAAGAATTCCTGCGTTCTACCCTCCAGAGCGTCCAGGAAGTTCAGGTTGGCATGAGCTTTGTGCGCATATCGAAAGAGGTCGAGTCACTCAGACAGGCCAATCTTCCGTTGGTCGCCAACGTCGTCATTCACGAAATCGGCATTGATCTGCATAGACTTGAGCAAAGCTCCCCAGCTCATCGTATGTACTTTCAAAGGGAAGACATTGCCCACCAAGCCTTGCTTGCCGCTCTGTCGATTTCCGTCAGCCTTGACGAAGACGATTCTAGCCCGAACAGAATCATGTACATTCCCATGGCCACGACGACTATCAGGACAACTCTCCCAGCGAAAACTATGAGTTTCTCACAAGACCGAGACGTCGCTGAAAGGAATACAAATATCTTGTTCGCCAACTTAGTCGTCACATCACCTTCCCTCGACTTAGCACCACAGCACCTTATGAAATTATTGGCTGTCACCCAGACCCATGAATCTCAAGCTCAAGCTCCTTCTCGTAATAACCACCGCCTCATCTCGAGACTGCTCCCCAAGGCAAGCATCAAGTTCTCAATCCATGAACCCGTGCTCAGGTTTGTGCTACCAGTCGCAAATCCTGCTCATGCTGGTCCAGGCGAGTACGACATGATCATCTCCTCCGTCTCCTCCATCTCTCTAGATGTCGAGTCCTCTCACTCGGCAGGAGGAGAATTGTTATATTCTCTGGGGTCTAGCTTTCGCGTTCTATCACACAGGTTATATTATCAAGCTTCTACAGGCACGACACACAACTTAATCATTACAGAAGCTTTGGAACTCAAAGTTCAGCTCACCGCCTCGACGGGTGTTTCTGTCACCCTCCAAGGGAATCTACGGACTTTCTCTATTCTCATGGTGCGAGAAGAAGTAAGCAAGGCGATCTATAATATAGTGAGGCACTTTAAACCCCATTCTCCCGACGACAAAGCCGTTGTCCCAAAGTCGCCTCCTGCAGCTTTCTTGCGGAAACTTCCTACTTGGCTCATAGAGGCGAGTTTCGAGGGATCCGGTTGCAGCATCGAGGTCGCGGGCGTCGACTCCAGTGTGTCTGGCCAAACTCGAGGTGTCGCCTTTGAGCTTGAATCTTGGTCCGCCCATTATACATCAGCAAAATCAGAGTTGGGCCGAAAAACGAAAGGACGAAAAGTTAGTACCTCAGTCCGATACGATGAAACGTTTTCGGCAGGCAAAGGTGTCTCGCCTTCCCCATCACAACAGAAGCATCACCTTAGTGACCCAACAGATGGAAGACGACTGGCATTTCATGTCAAGGGCTTTGACGGCTTCGTTATCGAATCTCTTGATAGGTGGGAACCAACCCCATTCATGTCAATTCCGAGATTTGAAACCGCATTCAGCACATCAAGGGATCAGCAAGGACCTCTGTTCCACATTCACTCATCCATTCGCGCGTTCTATTTGGAATTCTCGCTCTACAGATTCTACTCAATAGGTGTCGCGGGTTTCGTTGTTAAAGAAGCGTTCGTGGGGCCAGTTCTCACCAAACAGGATCCAGAGCACCATTTGAAATCAGCAAATCACCACACTGTCCATGAGCATCTCCCAGCACCTTTGGATGCAGAACTATTCGCAATCGATGTGAAGGCGCACTACGTCCAAGTCAGAGCCGATATGCCACATGATCCCCCCATGATGCTTCAGATTTACCAAATCTCAGGTGGCCGACACAGATGGTCCGCGCCATTCATGAAAGCCGAACTTGCTCGTTTACATGCGGAAGGGCCGCATCTCAAACAGATTTGGGCACGTATCGTCAGCATTAGCAACGTCAGGGTGGATTTACGCCATAACAAGAAGAAGACTCAGCACGCCACAGTCGAAGAGAGAACCATCGACGTCTCAACCGACTTCATTCGCTTAGCAGTGCCTCATGGGCTGCAGATGTACAGAGTCTTTGATAATTTTATCAACACTTCAAAGGCTATAAAACAGCTGCAACATCGATTCCAGACACGGTCGAACGAGTATGTGCTGGGGAAGCACCCCGTTCCTGCTGTCAAGGTTCCTCGAATCTCTGTCCGATCAAAAGCCCTTTGCTTCGAGCTAGAAGATGACCCGTTTGAATGGAAACTTGGGGTGATCTATCACGTTGGCCGCATTGAGCAGAAGCAACGCCTTGCCCGTGAAGACGCCTTCCGTCTAAAGGTTAAGCGAATGAATGACGAGAGGCGGCCTCGGTCATCATCTCGACTGCGCACCCAATCTGCTCATTCGAGCCGTCGTGGCTCTCCCAACGCTGCTGGTGACAATCATCGTCATCGACGTCCGCGAAGTGTTGAGACCACTCCGAGAAAGCGATCCACTTCCAGAGGAAGACGCGGTAGGGAATCACACCAAATTAGATACGATCGTGAAGGTGTTTGTTCATTGACGACCCATGCCAAAATAGATGCGATTGAGGCGTGGGACAAGCTTCAGGAGCACAATTCTCGGAGCTGGAAAAGACGAATCGACTGGATGCTTCGTCTGCAGAACAACACAGTAAAAAGCGTCCGACAGCTGTTCATGGGCGCAGACGAACCCCCTCATGACGACCATGAGACCGAAACGATTCTTGGTATTCCAAATCGCCCTGGCTTGATGACCTTGATCATCAGCGATCTGCACCTTATCATTGACAAGCCCTCGTTTCCGGAAGCTGACCTACCCAAATTCCTCCATGAGATTGGCAAAGGTATGCCATACGATATGAAATACGGGCTGCTCATTCCCACAAGTCTCAGTCTTGACATGGGTGAAGCCCGTATCTTCCTTCGAGATTATCCCCTCAATCTTCTCCATATCCCCGCCCTACGCCCCGGGCAGCCCGCTCGCCTGCCAAGCTGGTCTCTCAGG